AAATGTTTAAAGTTCTTCCGTGGTAAGTAAATATATATGGTTATGATATCTGCCTACTCTATATTTCCCAAACTGTAAAACTTATTTTGTGAAATGTCCTTCATTATTTATGAGACCATTTAATGAGTTTCTTGTGTTAAGTATCTGTAGGGTACTTGAAAGGAAGTTTTTATTACAAATCTAAGATTGTTTTCCTTTTAACGTCTTTCATGGTTGAAGTAGAATATAAACACAGTCATCAAACTTAGATCAGTTTTAGCCCTAAAATAAATTTAAACACATAATTGGTAACTACTAGCCTGCAATAAAACAAATTTCTATAAGCAGTATTTTTACTTAATTTTCCAATATGTGCTCTATTAAAACTTTTCAACATTGATTCATAATAACATGCAGTTTAGTGAACTTATCACCCAAAAGCCTGATAAAAATTTTGGCTCTTCTAGGTGTATTAAGAGATCCATCAAAAACTCATCCAGAGTGGCAAAAACCATTTTCATTTATTTCTCTTTATGACTAGTGTAAACTATTAAGGTTAAGTGGGTGGGGCAACCGGAAGTAATTACTAAGACCAGTGGCATTTTTGTGGTTTAATAAAGGCAGAAGCTAATTATTCAGTTTTTATTTAAGTGAAATGGTGCCAAAAAGGAGGTTCCTGCAGAGCAGCTGCACTCCTTCAGTGTTACCCTAATTTACCAAAGACACAACTGTCACAAACAAAACTTTTAAACTTGATATATAGCCACAAAAGTAAGGAGGCTTTTGTTTGGAGTGCATGCAGAAGAACTCCTTTATACAAATCAACCGGCAGATGACGGACAATGATGAAAATTTGATTCTTTGAAGTCATAATAGTCATTGAAATGTGTGAAATTCTGGTATTGAAAAGAGAGCAGCCAGCAAGACTCTAAATCCTGGGTGGTTGCAAGAAGCTTGCTGGGAGGTTTTTCTGCATTTTGACACCAACTTCCCATTGCTTGTTCCCTGCTTCCTTTGTTAAAAAAAAAAGTTGAATTCACATAAGATAAATGGGGACAGTTGATAACCGAATCATACAGTTTTTATATGGAAAACTAATATTTTGTAATGGAAATTGGTATTTGAAAGAATAAAGTTTTTTTACATATACTGGCGTATACTTTCTTAATGATTTTTAAATTCCTCCATTCTATTTAACTAGACGTGTGAAATGGAAGATCAGCTATCAGCTCTTCCAGAATTTAAAATTGTGGAAGAAATGGTGCTGAAAGAGTGGAACTTTGGAATTATGCATCTTTTCAGTAGCAAAGTTTATTTGAGTGCCTTTTAATCTAAGAATCGTGATTAATTACTTACTATTTCATAAAATAGCATATTGTACGTAAGATTGTGTTTCTGAAACTTTATTCTATTAAGATAGTGACATTCTTTAATAGAAATGTAGGTTTCATGCTTGACCCAACTGCTTAAAAATTAAGAGTTTTAAAATTCAGTAAATCTGTCTATATTTTCTACAGGCTATCTTGCTTTGTTAGAATTTATAGATAATTATTAACTGGTGAGTCTTGAGGTTCTTCAGGTGCCAACTTGAAGGCTTCTCCTACCTTATGTGATTTAACTTGTTTGTAGTCACAGAAAATTTATGAATTATTTATAAATTGTCTATTTTAGTAATAAAATGACAAATCTGTAAAAGGCAATATTGACATCTTCAAAGCATTTCTTTCTTTTATAGGTAGGTTTTTTTTGAAAAATTACAGATGATTCATATTGCAATACAGAAGTAGCAATCTAGAGAGAATATCATTAGTTCAATATAGTTTCAGTAGTTTGCACATGTTTTATTCATTTTTTGCAAAAGTTGAGTCACAGGTACATCAGTGAGAACTTTGACAGAAAGCAAAGCGTTGAAGACACAGTAAAGAGTTCAACATAGTGCCTCGTAGTTCTTTTCAAGTATTACATTGTTTTAATGGAATCTTGGAGTGGGAGCTTTAGCCCATTGAAATGTCGCTTAAAGGACAGGTTCGTCTGTCAGTTGCTGAAGCTGTGTGGATGAAATGATAACAATAGAGTGTCGTAATGCATTTTAAAAGTGTGAGAAATCAGTTTGTCTAGACTAAGAGTGTGGCTACAGGGACTAGGAGTTTTAGAGATTCTGTGCCCTTTAGGTGTCAAGTATGTTGAGAGATGCCAAGCCTTTTTATTCTGTCTTTGGCAGCAGCTCAACTGGGCTGCAGTACCCTACATGTCTTCTGCAGGCAAAAACAGGGCTTCTATGTCAGAAGAACTTGGGTTTCAAAATTCAGAAACTCATTTGTTTGAGTGCCAGCTTTAAATTGGGGGAAGATATCAATAAATAATTGCCATAATTTGAGAATGCATGGAAGCACTGGTTGTTAGGAGTTCAAAATATAAAGAGTTCACAACATTTTGTAGCCACTTATTTTAAAGAGGCTTTCGATCCTAAAAAATCATTCTATCCCTTTGTACTTTAATAAGATAATACAAATCAAGAAATACAGTTTCCATTTTTAAAAAACTTTATTGGTTTTTAAATTACTTTGGCATATATGCATCACATTATAGAATTTTATAAAGAAAAAGTCTCTTTCCTATGATCTTGTCTTCCTGAGGTAACTAGTGTTAAGAGTGTAATATGTTTCCTTTCTTATAAGTCTTAATTTTGGGAGTAGCCAATTTATAGCTCCAGTTTTTATGAACTTAGCTCAGAATGGAGGGGTTGCTGTGGAGTTTGGAAATGATGCCTTATCCCATAATTTTGTAACACATAAAAATTGTTTATTTATACCCTGCTTCAGCAATAGCTGAAGAAATAGCATATATTAACACAAAAATATCTAATATTAAATAAGTTAATATGACAGATTACAAATGCTGTAGTGGATTCAAAGGGGGAAATAAGCATTGAGGATTTCTCAGGAGCTGAGTCTCTTTCAGGTTCTTTCTTGAATAGAGTAATATGCTTTAGAAAGTCATTAAATGTAATAATACCTGAAATGATTTTTTTTTGAAGTTGAACTTGACAATTACAAATTACCAATTAAAAGTTATATTCATACCTTTAAAAATCATGTACCAATTGCACTCATTTTGTTTTTATCCTACATGCAAAGAAACTTTTAAAAAAGGTAGGCACATATTAGAATTGCATGTTTGTGTAAATATTTATATGGATCATTTTGATAGTTTCTCCAAACGGACAAGCTGTGACAAAGTAACTACACCTAGGTATTGGTGCAAGTGCAAAGGTATTGTGTTAAGCAGAGGATTGGTTGCCAGCTAAAATAACTTTCAAGAATTGTTTTTTTAATCTTTGGGTAGAAAGACTAATCAAGTCAGAAACACACTTATGCTGCAGTATGTACTGGGAAAATGCTAAGTATTTATACTAATTCTTTGGTCCATAGCATTGATTAGAGTGGAAGTACAAATAAACATTAGCCTTCATTAGGAGAGCTATTAACAATAAAATGAAAATTCACAAAATGGGTTAAATTTTTTAGTTTTCTAGTTTTACAAGTTTGATATAATCATTTTCATGTTACTCTTGTTTGTAACCAGTTATTTAAAATATACTTTAGTAAGTGAACCATGATTTTAAAATACTTCTTTATAAGAATGATATAGTTGACCTTAATATAATCTTATTTTGACAGAATAAAGTATTTTACCATTACTGAGTGGAGACAAACTCTGAATTACTTTATTATTTTGTGTCCTGGCTGCCACTATAATTTGATAAATGTATCTAATCTGAGGCATCAAAATGGTATGCGTTCATCAGTTGAGCATTTGTTACTAGATAGAATTATAGAAAAAGAAAGGAAATTTACCATTGTTTTCATCTCACATTTCTGCAAAAATCTTGCAACTTTTTTTTTTTTTAAAGATTTTTTATGTTTTTCCTTTTTCTCCCCAAAGCCTCCCAGTACATAGTTGTATATTCTTTGTTGTGGGTCCTTCTAGTTGTGGCATGTGGGACGCCGCCTCAGCGTGGTCCGATGAGCAGTGCCATGTCCGCGCCCAGGATTCGAACCAACAAAACACTGGGCCGCCTGCAGTGGAGTGCGCGAACTTAACCACTCGGCCACGGGGCCAGCCCCAAAGTCTTGCAACTTTTTGGCTTACCTTTGCCAGATAGATTTGATGTATCATTTTCTCTTCAGTAGGTTTCACCAAAGGGAGATAAATCAGAAAGGGGATTAAAGTTGTTAATTGATTTTAATTGTTCACAAAAACATTCAGGCTTTCCTCTGAAGGGAATGCCTTGTTGTAAGCTGTTTGACACAGAAGCCACTGATAATAGATTTTTTCCTATGTAAAATTTTGTCACTTTTTTTATCCCTCCCCCCTTTTTGTTTTTTGGTGAGGAAGACTGGCCCTGAGCGAACATCTGTTGCCAATCTTCCTCTTTTAGCTTGAGGAAGATTGTTGCTGAGTTAACATCTGTGCCAGTCCTCCTCTATTTTGTATGTGGGATGCTGCCACAGCATGGCTTGATGAGCACTGTGTAGGTCCAGGCCCGGGATCCAAACTGGCGAACCCTGGACCACTGAAGCAGAGCACGTGAACCTAACCACTACACCACTGGGCCAGCCCCTTCCCTAACTTTTAATATCCCTTTGCATTCTTTCTCTGCTGACTAGTAACCCCTACTCATGAAATAAGAATCTATTGACCAGAGGGTCTTCTACCAGCAAATTCTTCAGAAATTACCAATGCTTTGTTGGACAAGAGGGACCTAAATTTTTTTTTTATGAATCCTTTCCCACTGTACCCTAACCCTCTCCCCAGTATACCTCTTCCACATATCAAAATAGCAATTTATGTGGTAAAATAGCAGAGTAGTGAACTAAGCCAGAAAGCTAAAAAGCCCAATTTATAAATAAAACCCAGTTTATAAATAAATCTGAATAGAGTTGCATGAATATAGAAAGCAAAAAAGTACATTAGGGGGTATATGGGCTGTTAGAAACTGTTTGCTTGTTTTTCTATAGGATATCACTACTTTAACTGGTGTTCCAGAAGAGCATATCAAAACTAGAAAAGTCAGGATCTTTGTTCCTGCTCGCAATAACATGCAGGCTGGAGTAAACAACACGAAGAAATGGAAGATGGAGTTTGATACCAGGGAGCGATGGGAAAATCCTTTGATGGGTTGGGCATCAACGTGAGTACTTTAGTTTAATTTGAATATTGTTTTCAACTCTCTTTTTCTATGTAGATTTTCCTTTTAAATATACTGATTTTTAAACTCTTTCATGTATACTATGCTTTATAATACTTTTTGAGACCATTTGTATAGGTGTCACTATGTTCAATGACATAGATATATTACATTTATTTACATGTATCATATATATATTTTAATATTCATATAAGTGTAGCCCAGCACAACAAACCATAGAAGCAGTCCTTTTCAGAGTACTGTTTATTGGATAAAATGGCTGACATTGTGAGTACTCTTAGCACAGTCCCCAAGCTATGTATCTTAGTTTAAAAGGTACACAGTGTGAATAATTTAGTGACACTTTCTTATTTTTAAATTAAAATAAAACTTTCTTTTTAAAGATTGACACCTGACCTAACATATGTTGCCAATCTTTTTTTTTTTCTCCTTCTTCTTTTTCTTCTTCTCCCCAAAGCCCCCCAGTACATAGTTGTATATTCTAGTTGTAGGTCCCTCTGGTTATGCTGTGTGGGACGCTGCCTCAACATGGCTTGATGCACGGTGCCATGTTCCTGCCCAGGATCCAAACCGGTAAAACCCTGGGCTGCCAAAGTGGAGCACGTGAATTTAACCACTCCGCCACGGGGCCGGCCCCCTAAAATAAAACTTCTTTATAAAGTATTTTTTTGTTTTTAAGGAGAGGAGACTACGTGAGTTTAGAATTTAGCTATTTTGGGGAAACTAGTAAGTCCCTGAGATCTTGCGATTAATAAATTTACAGTGCTTTGGAATAAAGTAGTCATAAATTCTGTGGCACCAATGAAGTCAATGACGTAAATCTCTATGGTGGAATAAGGCCCAAATGTTAAAATAGCAAGACTGCCTGTAGTCGAGTAAAAGAAGCTGCTTCTAGAGAAAACAGCCAGATAAGCTAGAAAATTGTCATTCTTATTGAGACTCCTAGAACATTATATGTGTCCAGTCTCCAGTTGGAGGTAGTTATCAGTTTAAATTTTGTCTCATTTTAGAAAAGTATGATATATAACATCTTTTCTTGTTGATGTACCTGGGAGAATTTTTGTTAAAGACATCTGCCATTTTGCAGTTTACATAGAATTATATTTTATTTGACAAAATGATATATAGGCACAGATTTTTAGGTGTTTTGGTATCTTTAAATTTTATGTTTCATGTAATGTATGGAGTGGCATTGTAAGTTGCATGCTTCTAGAAACTAAAGGAATTTATAAGGAACAACTTTGTCCATACCCAATGGTTGAAATGTTATGATTACTCTTTTTTAAGTCACGTGAGATTTTATGTGTTCATCTATATACAAGATTTATCCATTGCACTATTTATTGATGGCTTTTGGGTAGTTTTCAGTTGTGGTTCTTATGCATAATACTAAAACGAAGATTCTTGTACATATCTTTTGGTGAACATATGACTGCTTATTAATATGCTAACTAACCCCTGAAATATTAGTTATTAGTTAATAATCAAACCAACTTATCTTAAGAAGTATCAATAATCTATTAATTCTCTATCCCTTATGCTTATCTAGTTGATGATAATGGCACTGTGATGAGTTTTGTTCTAGCACACAGTTAAACTACTGATAGATCACCTTGAACTTGTGGAGGATATATTTTATGCATTGTGTAGGGGAAGAAGACATTTCCTCTACCCACTGTGGGTTCTTCTGGCTGGAGAACGAATTAAATTCACATGAGACAGAATAACAGGAGAAAATTAAACAAAGCTTTATAACATGTGTATACATGGGAGAGGCCGAGGCAAGCTGAGCAGCTTGCCAAAATGGCTGAAGCCACCACCTTAAATATCATCCTCAGCTAAAGATAAAGGAGGATGTTGGGGGTAGGGGGAGTCAGTTATAGGAGGTTACCAGATTATGCTGATTTAAGTCCTTGCCTTCCACATTGATTTATCAAGAGTTTCTAGAGATAAGGTCATCCCCCCCTTCTTCCTGGTACAGAGAGGAAGACACCTTGACAGATGGAGATTTCCTTAACAATGTAAATGTCTCTTAACAAAGGGTAAGTAAATTCTACTTTTTAGAGTTGCTTTCCTGTCTGCAGTTTATTAAAAGTAACCAGCTCCAAATAATCCTCATGCCAAAGAGACATATCTTGGGGTGGCCAATTCCAGTCCCCCACAATTGTTACGGTGGGTCTGTTTCAGTTTTACTCCTCATCTTAGTCCTAGAACATAGTGTTAAAAAGTAAAAAAGGCATGGCCTTTCTGAAGTTTCGATGGAAAGTTCAGGGTGTTGACCAAGTCCTTCTGACTCCGTGGAACTCCAAATGCAGTCTCCTCTGTACCAAGCCGACTGCTGCTGAAATCTCTGCTCATTTCTTTCAGTCTTCTCAGCTGTTGTTTTAGAGCCTGGCGCATTCACGTGCAGTTCAGCAGTTCCCTGCTCAGTAGATTCCTCCTTTTTACTGTTTTCCCCGCTAAATTTCCAGCTGCTCTGGCAGTCCATCTCCACACTCCCTTGTGCTGACAAGACTATGGCTTTCTGCTTGAGTTCCTGATGTCCCTAGCTGTCTGGACTAGAGAGTACCTTTAGGGGAACAACTGTAAACTTGGATCTAATCTAGTTTGATTCTCTTCTTTCAAAGGTTGGGGAGGTCCACTTTCTTTCCTGTTTTTGGTCGTTCTCTAGTCCCTTCAAACAGTTTTTTTCCTGTTTTGTCCAGAGTTCATACTTACTATGTAATTGTTTGGCAGGTAAATTGATTTTAAAGGCAGTTATATCCGCCATTACCCAAATTGGAACCTCAGTAATTAGAAATTGAGCTAATAAAATCTAAAAATATAAGCACAAATTATATTTGGTAAAGATTGAAAGGAGAGATTATATACAATTGGAAGAGGGTAGGATATGGAAAAGCTTGATATTCAGTGTGAACCATGAGAGATAATTGGGATAGACTTCCATATGCTGAGATAGTGGTCTTCCGCTATACTGCAAGTGGAAGGAACAGATTGAGCTGGTGGGAACATACAGGCTACCTTTAGAGGAACAGTTAGCAATGTGGTTTGACTTGTTTACTTCCATGAGGAGTAATTAAAAAGAAGGCTGGAAAGTGGGTTCTGATCATATTGTAGAAGTGCTTAAATGCCAGAGTGGAAGATTGAAATTAATTTGGTAGACAGTGGAAACTAAAGTTTTTGAATTGGGCAGTGAGTTTGGGAGATGAACTTTAGGAAGATTATTCTGGCAACATGGCAGAGGGTGGATTGGAGTCAAGAAAGATTGGTTAGGAAAGTATTATAGTAGTTTGGTGAAGAGTGAAAAATGGTGTAAGCTGGTGGTGGCAACATACCTAGAAAAAGAACGGCAAAATATAGGAGATGAGGGAAATGAGAAGGGTAGAAACTGAGTGAATGGTGGCTTATTGATGCAAGTGGTTACTATTTAACCTATGTATGTATTTCTTCATAAATAAAGTGTGGATAATACTAAAGGCTGTTCCACATTTGCGGGAAGTAGAACTCCTGGCTCCTAAGTTTTTCCTACAGTTTTTTCTATATTATTTCTTATTCCCAACTAAGCTTATATATATGTCAACACTCATCAAATTATTGGATCATATTTATGTTGACACTTCTGTTCTCATTATAGTTTATATAACTATCAACTGAGAAATCATATGTGCTTTGAAAAGGAGGAACCAATATAAAATTACCATTTGTTATAGTACTAATACAGCCAGCCAATGTGAAGCGCTTTTGCTTACAAGGTGGGGTTTACGGTAAGAATACCATACCATGGTAAGATCATTATAGGGATCTCATAGGAGTCCCAGAATAGTAACCACAGTGTATGACCAGAACTTAAGCAGCAACAACTTGTGGATCTTCAGTGAGAGCTACTTCCCATGTGTTCTCTTCTGTGTATATCTCATATCTTTCCACTATCCAAATTACTTCCTGAACCCTCTTTTCTATATTTTTTACTTCCACTTTCTAAACAGTGTTTCACAGAATGCTGTACGGCTGTCCCTCGGTACCTGCAGGGGATTAGTTCCAGGACTTCCATGGATACCAAAATCTGCAGATGCTCAAGTCCCTTATATAAAATGGCGTAGTATTTGCATATAACCTAGGCACATCCTCCCATATGCTTTAAAGCATCTCTAGATTACTTATAATGCTTAATGCAATTTAAATGCTATGTAAATAGTTGTTATACTGTATTGTTTAGGAAATAATGACAAGAAAAATATGTCTGTACATGTTCAGTATGATGCAGGTATCGTAGGCCTTTCCATGTGTAGTTGGTTGAATCCATGGATGCAGATTCCATGGATTCAGACCCCGGGGATACAGAGGGCTGGCTGTATTTGCTTTTGAGAGATTCATAGTAAACATGTGTAGCAAACAGTGCTCTACCTTTTCATAAACATATTAATAATGATTAATGGCCAAATGATTGAGTTCACACACTGTACTTTGGTGGCCCAGGGTTTTGCCAGTTCAGATCCTGAGTGTGGAGCTAGCACCACTCATCAAGCCATGCTGAGGTGGCATCCCACATAGCAGAACTGGAAGGACCTACAACTAGAATATACAACTATGTACTGGGGAGCTTTGGGGAGGAAAAAAAAAAAAAACGAAGATTGGCAACAGATATTAGCTGAGGGCCAGTCTTAAAAAAAAAAAAAAAAAGCAAAACTGCAAAAAAAATAAAGGTGACATTTCTGAAGTTAAATGGTATTTTGTAAAGAGTCTATATAGATTTGTAAATACTACCATTATGCTAATTGAAGAACTCAATTAGATGTCACATCTTGGAGCTTTATTTTGTTAAATGGCCATATGCTTAGAAGAGTATTGTCCATAATGATTGAAGGTTCATTAAGAAAAGTGGATGTTTTTGCCATCTATTTTGGGGGGTGGGTAATGATAGTACTGACAGTTGCACTCATCAGTAATTTTCTTTATATTGAATGTATAAGGTCAGTTAGAGAATCCCCTTGGATTTTTTTATTCAACTCTATTTTTCTCCCCTTTTTTTTTTCATTTTAAGATTGGCCCTGAGCTAACATCTGTTACCAATCTTTTTTTTCTTCTTCTTCTTCTCCTCCCCAAAGCCCCCCAGTACATAGTTGTATATCCTAGTTGTAGGTCCTTCTAGTTCTGCTGCGTGGGACGCCGCCTCAGCATGGCTTGATGAGCAGTGCTAGGTCTGCGCCCAGGATCTGAACTGGCAAACCCCAAGCTGCTGAAGTGGAGCATGCGAACTTAACCACTCAGCCAAGGGGCTGGCCCCTCTCTCTTTTGTTACGAGTTGAATAAATAATTTTATTAAAGACTAAAAATTACTGAATGTCTTTGCAATTATAAAGTTTTTAATTTGATAACACCTGTTAGAAAATCTCCCAAATTTAACACAGAAAGAGATCTTCAAACAGTTACCAGTTTTAAAGAGATTATTCACAATATTTCATCAGTAGTGTGCTTATTTGATATTATAACAACTGTTTGTTTTCTATACTTTATTTTAAATATTGGGGGTTTTTTTCAGCCAAAGCTTAATGTTAAATCCTGGAAAAAAATTGTTTCTTACAGGGCTGATCCCTTGTCCAACATGGTTTTGACCTTTAGTACTAAAGAAGACGCAGTTGCCTTTGCAGAAAAAAATGGTATGTTTGGTCTGTTTTTGTTTTGCTTTGACAAATAAAATCGAGATATGATTTTAAGTTCTTAATGTTAATTACAACCAGTCAAGGATATAGAATTTGAGTTGAAAGAAATCTTTCAATGTATCTAATCCAGTAGTTCTCAGATTTTTTACAGTATCAGAACTCCCTCTCCAAAAAAAAAAATCTAACGTGGAATGCCCATGTAACATGCAAAAGCTGAACTGCTCTAATTTGAAGTAGAGGCAGGGGATAAAACTACTTGTCTAACTCCTACCTTGTTTGTGAATCCCTCTGCAAAATCACTAACATTTGTTTTTAAACTCTAATTGAACATCTCATAAGGCAGCCTGCTCCAGTTGTGACACCTCTGTTTTTTTTACTTGAGCCAAAATCTCATGTCTCTTATTCTACCTAATAGCGCTTCAGTTATTTGAAAATAGTTATCATTATCATATTCCCTCTAAAATATCATGTAAGCCTAAATGTCTATATTTGCCACTTATCTAGATATAGTGGGTCTAGTACCAAGCATATTCTCAACTCTACAATTATATTAATGCAGCCTAAGAGCATATTAGCTTTTGAAGTAGCCACCTAACACTATTGGTTTATGTTGATCTTGCTACCAACAGAAATGCAAAATGTCTCTTCTCATTTTTTGCTGTTAAGCCATGGAACACAGTAGTGAAAAGAGACTTTGGAGTCAGACCAGTCTGAATTCTAATCCTTTTTGTGCCACTTTGAAGCTATGTGATTTTGGATTAATTTCATAATGGACTTAATGGTTTTTCATTGTTGAAATAACAGTATTTATCTCATGGTGTACCTAGTCCAGTACCTGGTACATAGTAGACACTTGGTACCTATTGGTTCTGACCCTTGCCTCCCTCCATCTGGTATTTCTGCTGTTTGCCTCTCTTTGGTTTACATGCACTACTATGCATTTTTACCTAATGCATTCTGTTGTTCTAGTTGGTCATATTGAATTTGAATCTAATTTTAGTTATCTATTTGAATGAGATAATGTCTAAGTGTATTGTTACTGAGTCAATATATAAATATAAAAGATTGTGAGTGTTATGTAACATATTTGACATATAAATGTGAAAGCACCATAAAGGTTATTATTATTATCTAGAATATTTGCTTTTCACCCCAAGTTAGTGTTATAAATAGTTTATGATTAAGAGTCTGAAGCCAAAGTGCCTGGGTTTGAATTTATATTGCATTTCTTACTATTTGTGTGACTTTGTACTTCCATTTTCCCTTATGTACAATGGGAATTGTTGTGAGGATTCAATGGGTTAATAAAAGTAAAGTGCTTGGAACATAGTCAAGTATAAAATAGTATATAAGTTTATCCAATTATTTTATTAGGAATAGACTTTTAAAAACTTAAGATTTTGTAAGTAAAATTCCTTATTAACACTTGCTTGGTAATTTCCAAATTTCTTAGTTACCTAAGTATTCTTAAAGTGGTCCTATTCTTTAAAATATTATTTTGACTTAAAATTAGCATTGCTTTCTTTTTAATTAAACTGTAATATAGCTTATCAAAAACAGTTCTATTAATGTTTTCCATCTTTGCAGCCTACCATATTTCATGTCTGACACCTTGAAAATTATTCATTTGAGGTCTGTAACATGAGTTTAATAACAGGAAATCTAATTAAACTGTTAAATCTCTGGTTAGTGTCTCTCTAAGTGGTCACAAGGACTGCTTGACTACAGTTGCCATGTGAATTACAGGTGTGAACTAGCCACTGCTGCTGTTGAAATCAGGTGCTTTTCCCATCTGATTTCTGCCTCCCCAGGAAAGAAAACTGAGGAATGTTATCAAAGTCAATAGACAGTAAAACTTGAAAAAGCTTAGTGGATAGTACTTATAAAACTCTAGGCTAACAGTGGTAGCAGGAATTATATCTTTCTTAGTCATTGCTTTGTCCCCAGCACAAAACCTACATAATGGACACTCGATATCTGGTGAAATTACTGACTTTGTAAAATGTATTCCTCTACTCAAGAATTTGAAGCCACTGTCATCTCCTGGGAAAGTCCTCAATGATTATTCCACTCTGGGATTCACTGTATTAATTGTGATCTGCCTCATTTATTTAACATTTAGCTTTTTATATCTTAAATAGATAAGTCAAGTCCTGTTTCTCTAGCTGTTGTGGCAGCAAGCCTAAACAAACACTGTTGAAGTGATACAGAATCATGGGGTGGAGAATCTTTCCCAAATTACCCAGCATCCCCTCCATTCTGATTTGCCTCTTAGTAGGTGGATAGTGGTGGGAGACATATAAATGAATCCTCTCTCCCTACCACACCTAACATTCTGTTGTGAGTTAGTGCTATTGAAAGTTGGGTGAAACAATGTTCTGGTAAGTTAAGGCATTAAAAAGAAGTGGTTCAGAAGCACTGATATATAAAGACTTTTGGAGTAAGAGGATAGTAACTAGGATTCTCATTCCATAATTGTCTGCCTCACAGGAGAGCTTGAGCAAGTCATGTTTCACTATACGTAGGCTTTGATAAGCATGTTTCTTCATCTTTGAAATGGAAAGTTGGATTGGGTAATGCTCAAAAACTACAGACTTAAGGATGTTAAGTCCAGGGACTAGCTCACATATATCTTTATGTCTTTACTGTCTAGCCCAGTGCTTATTCATTATATGCTCTAGGGGAAATATGTGTTTTTGTTGATAGAGATGATTCTGTGTTGATAGTGAAATCTGGGAAAGGTTATCCATTTATGAGCAGTAAATGTTTGCCTTTCAGTAGGGTCTAGAAGTAGGAGGTTAGGGTAAAACTGCCACCAAAAAAAGATAATTTGTATACTCAGGCACTATTCTGAAAATGAACAATCTACTTTTCATCCTCTTCTCTGTTTTCTCATTTCCCTTATTTTTAAATGGTTAAAAAACAAAAAAGTTATAAGCATTATTTCCCTTGACATAAAAGACTGTATTGTAGAGTATCAGTATGAAAAACAAGATTTTCAGATTCAGTTGCTTTCTAGAAAACATTTTTAATGCCTTCTGTTTATATTTCAGACTCAAGTAATGAGTATCATCATCACAAAAGCTAACGTTCATAAGCACTAAGTCATGAGCTAGTCACTCTGCTAAGTGCTTTTCGTTCATTCTAATTTAATGCTCACTACAACTCTATGAAGCAGGAACAGTTACCCCATCTTCTAATTCAAGGAGTCTGAGGTTTTAGAGACATTAAGTAACATTAACAAGGTCACATACCTATAAGTGGGTGAGCAAGTTGTATTTAAACAATCATATTCATTCATTTATGTATTGTCTGTGACTGCTTCTCGGCTATAATAGTAGAATTAAATAGTTGTAATGGAGACTGTATGGCCCCCAAAATCTAAAAATATTTTCTGTTTGGCCATTTATAGACAATATTTACTGATCCCCTGGTCTAAACCATTATATATACTGACTCAATACTGAGACCCTTTCTTCTCTGACATTTTTATAAATCCAAACTACTGTTTATTCAAACATCTTGAAGGGCTTATGTTTAATAGATATACTCCTGAACTGGTAATTCAAAGCTCTTCACAATCTAAACACTAATTTAATTAGTAAAGCACTAGCCTATCTTTGTCTTACTATGCCAACCCTCTTTCTGCCCTTGTCCCCAAACCGGCTATATACTTTCCTTCATCCACAACCTTATTCATCCTTTTCCCTTTCTCATTCTTATCCCTGCTTATGAACTCCACCCTAGTCTTCGAAATACATTTTAAATGTTATCTCCTTGCTGATCCCTTTTCCCCTTTCCCACCTGCATCTCCCACCCACAACTGGATGTGCTGTCTCTTCCTTTTCACTTACACAATAATTTGTTCTTTTCTTAACAGCTCTTATAGTGTGGTTTTTGTATTTGACTTTTTTTGTATTGCATTCAATCAGACGTATGTTGAGCACTCTCTCACATGCCAGTGCTGGTGGCTAGGCTCTGGGGATCAGTAGTAAATAAGGCATAGTCCTCATACTCAAAGTGTAATATTTTATCCTGCCTACTGGATTGTAAGTACGTACCAGGGAAAACACCCAGTCCCACCCATCTTCATCTTTTAATGTGCTCAGTAAAAGTATTGGTGAATTTGAACAGTACACGTAGTGATGTTATAAATTATTCTCCAGATCATGTTTTAAACTTTACTTTAAATCACTTTAAATTAATTTGGCTACTTATTCTGTCTTTTAGAAGAACTACTAATTCCCTCTAATTAGAAATCTGAAGAAAGAAAATTGTAGTATTTTTAGCAAAATAACCAATAACCATTCTATAGACAAGAGAAATAAGGTGAGTTTTACTTGAGCCAGAGTGAGAATGATAACCGGGAAGGCCTTAGAACGCCTTCCAGAAAAGCATGGTCTTCAGCACAGTGTGTACCTTTATTAAATACACCCAGGGTACATTTTCAAAGTTTCAAAGAGGTATTTAGTTGCAAAATAGTAGGTCAACATGAACCTGATGTCTGGAAATGAACTAATATTTACCAATAGGGCAAAGGAGGGGAAGTATGCATTCTTATCTTGAGAGAGTTCATTCTTTTCTTTAATAGTTAAAGCACATGTACAATGTACATTTGATATGCCTTAAGTCAGGCTTCTTTTGTTCAAGCTGAATCAGTTTTGAACCTGAATAGATAGCCCATATACCTCAATATGTGAAAATCTCTTGTCAAGTAGAATGATGAGCAATTTCTTATATTTTGGTGTCTTTGTAAAATAAAATACAACCAATAAATGTTTTAATGTCAAATTAATTTGGAATTTATCCTGAGTTTATTAAGGGTTAGTACCCTGAAGTATATTGCAGTGTACTCAACATGATCATTTCATAACCTTAGAGTAGTTTCCAAGCTGTATGTTATTCGTTCTAAACTCTTTCTTTTTTAAGGATATTAAGACCTAGAGAAGTTAATAAAACAAGACCAAGATCAATCATGTGTTCCTAACTGATAGGGC